AACAAGTTATGGGATTACAGCTGTGAAATTACAAACAAAAAATACACATTCTGAGATATGAACTGGAATGAATTGTGAATTTTATTAACATTAAATCGTCCTCCTCCCATTGTCACCTCAAAATTTTGGGGAAGCTGTGCCTCCCCTGCCTCCCCCGACGAGCCGCCACTGGATATCAGGGTTGTTATTGGTCCCTTTACATTCGGATATCTTTATTGGCTACTAAAGTGCCGTCAAAGGTTTGAATATCAATTCAAATTGTGGGCGTACTCAGTAACGAACTATGATTTAATAGTAACGAAGTAGATTATTTTGCTTAATTTGTAAACTTCATTGCAGTAACGTGAATAGTTGTAATTCGTTACCTCCACCACTGGTTGCTACAGTAGTTTATGTAAGATTTTTAGTGACGCCGAAGCAAACGTCTTGACACCACTCAGATGTCTTGATTACTGATGCCATAAATTCCTCCATTAAACCTACAATTAGCCCTGATTGCGCCCCCTTTTGTCTCCTTGTGGCATCTGAAATTCGCAAAAGACTCCTCAGAGGTAAGAATGCAAATCAACAGGTAATTATCCTGTGCTTTGATTACTCTAATTCTCTTCATGCTCTAAATGTTGCTCTCAGAGATGTATTACATCAAGAGCCATATAAGAATAAACATAGTAAAACATGGCAGAAAATAGACGTTATAATATACTTCCTTGACAGATATGATTTCTTCTGTCAGGAAATAGAGCTGGCATGTTGTGTTGTAATGTATGACGATCTGTAGACTATCTGTAGTGTGGGCAATTACATTTTGTTTGAGCATGATGTAAGTTACAATATACTGGCAATCAACAGGTATACAGGACAACTTAACTGAATAATCTTCCACCTTTGACACTGCAGAAAGAAAAACAAAACAAACAAATAAATAAATGTTTATATTGTATATATTGTATCACTAATATTTTGGTAATACTAAAAGAAAGATAATATCTCTTAACTTGCATCATATACAATTATTATATAACTAATGTATTGTTAATAATTTTTTATTAATTATTTCAGGAGGTAAAAATATCAGACTTGACTATTCATATCCAACTACAATTATAATGGTATTGCATAACATACTATTTATTCATTTATTTTTTATAAAACTGTAACCTGACAGGTTTTGTTTCTTGTGTGATCTAAATTATATGAGACATGGTCATTGTAACAGTTAAGGAAAGTTATGTAAACCTTTGCATGTGTTTTAATGTATTGCACTTACATGCATACATTTTAATGGCCATTTAAAGTTTGAAATATAAGTTTCTAAAGCAATGGCTATTGTAATGTCATATAGTATATATTGAAACTGTGACTGTCTCTCCCAAGGGACTTATGCTAATGCAGGTTTGTTAAAGTGACCTACTTTTATATAAAAATGATCATCTATAATGAACATACATCTGCGTGACAAATCTTTGACAAACCTGTAATCTGTTTATTTTGAATCCTTTCGAATTAAACTATTTTTACTCCTGTCTACACCATATATATATATAAAGCTGATCCGATGGTCTACATTGGATGCGGCGCGGCGCGGCACGACATGACATGACAAATCCCCGACAGAAAACCGCTGCTGCGTTCTATTCATGATGTCTTGACACAAATTTCAAATGATTGTCAACGGTCACTTTGTCGCGTCCAGTGTACTAGACAGACTTTAGCTGTTGCGGCGCAGACACAGTGTTACTCACCTATCGAGAAGAAACAAAGCAACCTCGGCGTCCGATCGCAGGCCCCGATTGCAGGCCTTGAGTTCTCTCCAGCGCTGGAAAGCTGATCCGATATTTACACGGATCCTACTTCTTGCCTTAAGCCTTCTTTTATTTCGCAGACGTTTTCCTCTTTTGTTTTTTATCCACCATCTCTAACTTTCTGTCGCTCGGCTCGCTAATATCCGTCCTGTGCACTGAACGTTCTCTCCTCCACATCATGAGTAGACACGCCCCTTACTGCTGATTGGCTACAAGTTTGTTTTGCTAGTCGGCCCAAATCAGTTTTCTAAAGCGTTTTTGAAAAATCCCTTACCCCATCTTTAATTGTGGATGCGTTTGTTTAGCAAACAGAAACTGTCACTATATTTGTTGTCTTAAATTTGAACAGTAAATATTGTTGATTATCATTTCCAACCTAACAAACTTTATTTTGTGTTCTCTGTTTTTAAAATAAATTCCACTTGGTTTGGCATTTTGTCATCTAATGCAAACTCATTGTACAAATGTTTTTGGGGGTGCAGTTTTTTTTTTGTGTGCGTGTGTGTTTCTGCTTGCCTTCCTGATCATATCATCTTAACCTTTTCTCTGGTCTTGATCCACAGCTCGTATCGTGAAGACCAAGCAGTGGTGTGACATGGTGCCCTGTCTAGAGGATGAAGGCTGTGACCTGTTAGTAAATAAATCAGGCTGGACTTGTACACAGCCCAGCGGCAGAGTGAAAACTACAACGGTGAGACTTACTTATTCTCATAATCACTGTCAAATGTCACTCTATTTACAGTTCTTTTCAATTTTATAATGTCACATGCAGTATTTTAAAGTGAAACGGTATATTCGATAAGAAAAAAAAATGGAGTAGGACTGGATGTTTTGGATCCATTGGGAACTAATTAGATTGTGAAAAATTAGCTCTTCAGTCCAGAGAAGAAGTCAGCGGAAAAGGAAAGTCTCTTGAGAAGTGGTGCATATTATATTTTGATGAAAGGTTATAAACTCATCATATATGTAAATATATTTTTTTCTTTTTAATATTTACTTATCATTTGTTCATAGCAGCACCATGAATATATATGGCATCAGTTCTGATTTCATGTAACAGGTATACATGGAAGACTAGAGGATTAGAGTATATTGTCTGTCTGCAATAAGCATTAATTTATTTTTTGATTTTAAATAATCTTATCGGTAGCACTTTATTTTACAGTTCTGTTCCACATGTACATATTATTTACTATAGTAATTCAAATAAGTGGGTAAAAACTACAGTAGTTACAGTACTTTCTTGGGTAAGTACACTAAATACACCGTAAGTGCATGTACTATAAATAAAATGCAACCATCTCATACTAGCATAGCATCTTTCAAAGACTACTTTCTTAAAGTCGCACTGAAATAAAAGTAGCAACTGTTATTTTCTTTTATATTGTGATGTGTATTCAAGTGTAACAGTGGTTTATTTACAACACTTTATATTATATATATATAACACTTTATTTTAGTGTCCTTGTTACAGTGTAATTATAGATTTAAGTACCGAGTAATATTAATTAACTGCATGTACTTACTATATGGTTAAGGTTAGGATGAGGGTTTGGTTTAGGGTTAGTTGCATGTAATTATACATCATTTATTGTTATTACTGTAGTAAGTACATGTAATAAGGACACGTAAAATAGTGTTATCGAAATGGATTATCGAAAAAAGAAAGAATGCAGGGTGTGGACTTGGTTCTATGCATCGTTTGTTGATTATTTTGAGATGTAGGCATTGTATGCAAAAGTGTAGGGAATTGAATAAGAGCTTGCAGAGGTTTAAACATGTTAAAATGGCGTAGTCCTGTATATGTCACTAGAGATCTGACATTTTCACTAGAAGGTTCAGTTATGATATTTTGTTTAAATGTTATGTCAGAACATTTTTTTTTAAATGAAACATGCACAGACAAATTGTTCACAATAAGATCTATAACATGTATTTGTAAAAAAAAAATAAAAGATCAATTTTAATTTCACGATGACTCTTAATAGTGCACTCAGAAACCTTCTTTTTATGGTGTATTGGTATTGCACGGTATAGCAAAATAAATAAATAAAAATAAATAAATAAATAAAAATAAAACTGAATTAATGTTATGTACAAGGATATATCTATCTATCTATTTTTTTTTCCTGGAATCTCTTAATAGATTAAGAGAATGGAGAAATTAAGTGAATCACAACAATGTTGGCTCATTTGACATTAAATATATCATAACAGGACTTCACTTGGCCAAATCCCTATAGAGCTCTTCAGACTCTATCTTAGGACACACAGAGCAGTTCTAACCTTCTAACTAAGTTCTCTCAATGAGAGGATGTGTTTATCAATGGAAATTAGATCACGCTATAACCTTGACAGTAAAATGGAATCCTTGAAGGCGAATAGTCCACCTGATTAGCCGTGAAGATGGTTTGGGATGCTTAAAAGCCCATGTTAGTGCAGCATGATCGGTCACAACCTCAAACGGGTTCCCTTCTAGATACGGTCGCCATTTTTCCACAGCCCATACAACCGCTAACACTCTTTCTCCGATACAGAGTAGGATTTTTTGGCTCCTTTCAACAACCGTGATGCATAGGCTATGACGCGTTCTATTCCTTCTATCTCTTGCATGAGCACAGCTCCCGGACCCACCTCGCTTGCATCTGTCTGTACTTTAAACTGTTTTGTAACGTCGGGAGTTGCCAGAATGGGTGCCTTTGTTAGATCTAACTTGAGTTGATCAAATGATTGCTGGCATTGTTCTGTCCAAGTCCATGTAGAGTTATTTTGTTTTTGTTTTAGTGCATGTAGTGGTGCTGCTTTTTCTGAAAAATGGGGAATGAATCTGTGGTACCACCCAGCTAATCCCAAAAATCGTTGTACATCTTTCATAGATTGTGGTTTGGGAAATGCACTTACAGCTGAGACTTTAGATGGATCGGTCTTTATACCTTGCCCCGAAACTATGTGACCTAGAAACATTAGAGACTTTTTGATGAAATTGCATTTATTTAAGTTAAGAGGGAGACCAGCTTTGGATAGACACTGGAATACCTGTTGGATGTGTTGGAAGTGCTCTTGCTCACTTTTGGAGTGTATCACGACATCGTCAATGTAGATCATGCAACATTTGCCCTTCAACTCTCTAAGCACACTCTCCATCAACCGCTGGAAAGAAGCTGCAGCGTTTTTTAGGCCGAACGGTAGATGCTGAAATTCATATAGCCCAGATGATGTGACAAAATCTTTTGCATGCTGTCAGGATCCATTTCCATTTGCCAGTATCCACTCTTCAGATCGAGAGTGCTGAAAACGGGTGCTCCATGTAAGGACTCTAGAATGTCTTGTATTTGTGGCATTGGATATGAGTCCAAAGGGGTCTTAGCATTAAGTCCACAATTGTCAACACAAAAACAAGATCCACCATCCTTTTTTGGCACCACCACCACTGGTGAAGCCCAAGGAGCTGTAGAGGGACGTATGATGTCTTTGTCCAACAACTCCTTAATCTCTTCGTCAATAAATGTTTGTTTCTCAAAAGATACCTTGTATGGTCTTTTCCTTACAGACACTTCATCGGTAGTCAGGATACGGTGCTTGACCAGTGTGGTATGTCCTATATCGTGGCTGCAAACTGTGGGCCAACCCAACATCAAACCTTCTAGCTGCACTTGTCCTTGTATGTCAGTATCTGCATTGACCGTAAGACCATGAATGGACTGCAGAACCTCTTCTTTGTACTGTGCTGGAGACAATGCAAGGTAGAAATTGACAGTTGGTGCTACTAGGTTGGTATTCTGGCTGGTGAATGAATGCATGATAGCAATATTCTCTTGTGTGGTTAGAGTATACTGAGCATGCCGAAAATCTAATACCATTCCTGAGTTACAGAGAAAATCCACTCCTAGAATGACAGGTACTGCTAGGTCAGCATCATTCATTACATAAAACTCAGTCTGCACAGGGACATCATGCACTTTGCTGGTCCAGATTACCTTCCCCACAGTTGCCTGATGGTGGCCATTTGAGAGAAGAAAAGTTTGTCCTCCGCTTGACAAATGGACCTCATCTTTGCACAACTGCTGCCAAATAGATTTTTGCATTAAAGACAGAGTACTACCCGTGTCGATGAGTGCTGTAATTCGTTTTTCCTGAATATGCAGTGGAATAGTAAGATTTCGAGGATTACATTGCACATTGGTTTTTCCAGTCTGAACTACTCTAGTGCTAGATGGTGGATTTTTACGTTGCAACTCTTGATGCGTGACATTTTTCTTTCTCTGCTCATCCGCATTCATCTGGTTCCAGTATTTCTTTGACTCACAAATGTCTCTTTCAATCTGTGTTCCAACTCTGACCAGTTCGTGCACTGTATGTAGGTTACCTCTTAACAGGCTAGTCAGCCGAGGGTTGCAATTATGTAAGATGGCCTGAATCATCTCCCTTTCAGTCATTCTCTTTCTCCACCTGAGACGTTGTGCCAGAATTGTGGATTCTTTTCTTTTCCGCAGACCACCAAGCTTTTGCAGTGTGTCCTAAAACAGCAGTCAGAGAAGATATAATTTCCTCATCAGTTAATGGGTGGATAGCAAAATATTCTTCACATTGCTCAATAAATGCAAGCGGGTCCTCCTCAGAATGATTACTGAACTTAGGAAATTCAAGCTTGACTGGCGGATTGTATGGACTTACTGAAATACTATCAGCAGTTGGTGGGATACTGGAATGACAGTCTTTATCGAATCTATGGATAACGGTTCTATTTATGGGCTGATGGGGAGTAGAAATTGTTGGGTTACTTGCCTGTAGTTTACGATCTATTTGCTTATCCCTTCTTTTAAGACAATCCACCATATACTGTACCAGGTCTTGAATAAGCACTTCTAGATGTTTTCTCACTCTTCGACACGATACAACAACTTCTCTTCAACAGATTTACACATTGCTTCACATTCATGAACAGATATTTGGTCCTTGTTGTTGAATGTTACTGACATTCTCCTCTAGAGTGTCAAGGCGGCTTGTTAGATCATGGATTATAGTCGACTTAGGTTCTAACTCACCATCACCATGGATCTCGGG